TAGGACTTTTTTTTTTGGTGGTCTGCATCACAGAAACCAATCCTGGTTTAAAATCTTACTGCAGTGAAGGCCCCCAAGTTACTCTGCCTTCTTTTCGTTGAGACATCTATTGCACTAAGATCTCAGACTTTCAGGCAAATGGATTATGAGAAGGCAGCCCCACTGAAATGATGAAATCACATCTTCTAAGAACGTGAGTTGTAGCTAATGCAATGCCCTCCAAAATGATACACCGGGAAGAATGCAGACTGTAACATTTCTATATTTCGTTCTTCTGTAGCGACACACTAGCTCAGGGTGCAAACTGTTACAATTTGACCACTTGAAGATTATACTGAGCCCTCCCCCTTTTCTCCACACCCTGTGACAATAGGATGGGATTTCACCCAATAGCTTTTTCAAAGCATTTTTCTATAATAATGTATTAACCTTTAATGAAAATTCGGTGTATATGACTAATGGTCATGAGAGGCTTTCACTCATTAATAACATGATTTTTCAAAGTACGCTACTGAATAGATTAATCACTGTCATCATTGGAGAGACTGCTCCTAAACTAGAAGTGTTATTGTAACAATTACGAATCAGTCAACATGGTCTAGGTTTTAGTTTTTCCTCCACGTTACAGAACTGCTGGCATTCAATTTTGTGTAAATAGGAACCACATATCTGTATCTGGCTGTATGAAAGGTTTCAACCCGGATGAGGTGCCCCAGTCTACCTTCTCTCAGTGACTCGCTGGGTTTCTTGTTTCTTGTTTCTCATTTAATGGTGAACGGCCATCGGAGTCCATGGAAAGACCACCCAGACCCTGGGAGTGGCCTCTGGACCAGGCAAAAGAAAGTCATTATACTGCTTCCTTCCCACCTGTGGTGACAACGTGGGGGGAACGTCCTGCCTGGGAATGTGATTGAAGGTTTTACCAGGTTTTTTTTAAAGATTTTATTTATTTATTTTTAGAGAGAGGGGAAGGGAAGGAGAAAGAGAGAAACATCCATGTGTGGTTGCCTCTCCTGTGGCACCCCCATTGGGGACCTGGCCTGCAACCCAGGCATGTGCCCTGACCGGGAATTGAACCAGTGACCCTTGGGTTCATAGCCTGTGCTCAATCCACTGTGCTACACCAGCCAGGGCAGTTTTACCAGTTTTAATGAAAGCTTCTGCCAGTTATGTGTATAAAGGCAACAGCAGCTCTGTTTGTCGGAGACTTAAAATAATGCGTCTGCTCTCTTAAGCATCAGGAGGCCCTGGCCAGGGCCTGGACTGCAAACCCATTCTATAAGAGGTCAGAGAAGCAAGAGCTTCAGGCTTCCCGGGCCATAAAGTCTCTGCCTGGACCACTCACTTTGTCATTGTCATGCAAAACCGCAGGCAGGACAGGTAGGTGTGGCTGTGTTCCATAAACCTCTGTTCCTGCAAAACTTTATTTACAAAGGTGGTGGGTCACCCTTGTCCTGTGGGCCATCGTTTACCAATGACTGGCCTAGACATAAGAAGACAAGGAAGAGAGATTGAAATCACTCTGCCTAGTAATGCAAAGTGTATCTCTGCTATGGATCTGGAGACTCTTAGCAGATTGCATCATCGTTATTATGAGCACTACTGGTGAGAGTTTCCTGTTTTACCTTAGGAGGTGTGTGTTTGGGAGTGGGAGGGAGAGCTATTAGCAGAAGGGAGTCAGTTGAATGAAGGCACTCATTCGAGGAGTGTGGGTGGATTTAAGGAATCCATCCATAAAGGGATGGTAGACTGCTTGAGGACTAGGAACACTGGAAAGTAATTATCCCTTTATTAGGGAAAGCCGAGGTGTGCAGGAACCCACTCAGAACTAGAATCTGGGAGAGGGCTATGACATGAAGTGTGGCCAGGGAAGGACGCAGGCACTTCTGGAACTATGGAGAAACACTGGTCAAGAAACGCCGCGGCCCCTGTCTCCCTGGGTCCCGAGTCTCTCGCTGGTGCCTCCCACTGCTGACTCGGGGGAGGACACAGACCCCCAGGTGACGCAGCCCCTAGTAATCAGTTTCCCGTGGCACACAGGGAGAGAGACAAAAGCAGAACATAAATGAGGGGTGGGACCGCAAAAAAGTGGCGGTGTCATTGTTGGGAATCACCACAGATGGCGGGAGCTTTGCAGGGCACACCAGGAAGCATTGCTTTTGAGCTTACCGAGTTTTGTGTTTAACTGAAACACAAAAATCCGCCCTTACTTACGGTGAGCAAACTGGTAACGTTGGGCATACATGTACATCCTGACAATCATCGCCCTGGTCAGGGTAATGACCATATCATCACCTGAGAAACTTCCCCGTGTCCCTGTGTACTTCCCTTCCACACATTGCCACCCCTGTCCCCTCAAAACCACCAGTCTATCTGCTTTCTGTAACTACGGACTGGGTTACACTTTCTAGAATTGTCTATAAATAGAATTGCACACTATATACTCCCCCACCCCCGTTTGTCTTCTTAGCATTACGTTGACACTTGTCCAATTTCGTGTGTAGAGCACTCATTCCTTCCTTTTCACTGCTGAGGATTCTGAGGAAGGGAACAAAGTCGTTTATTCATTCCCCTGATGGTAAGGAGTCGGGTTATGTCTGCTTCTCAGCCATTTACAAATTAAGCTGCTACAAATATTGGTGTGCAAGTTTGTTGTGGGAATGTACAGAGGCTTGAATGGCGCCCCCCAGAAGATGTGACCACGTGGAAACAAATGCCTGAAACCTGGGAACGTGGCCTCACTTGGAAACAGGAGTTTGGTGTGATGCGTGGGTCACCGGCCAGCAGTGATCACGGAACGCTGTGGATGGCTCACCAAAAAACACGAGAGAAAAAACATGCACAGAGACAGACTAGTTTCTGTGGGGAAGTAGGGACACAATGGCCACCCCCTCTAGTGGGGAGCGCGCTGATTTACCGTCCATACCTGCTTTTATTGGGCTCATTTTGCATAATAATTCAGGTAAAGTACAGTACTCTTTAGGGGGAAGTAAGGGACCATAGAAAAAAAGGAATTCTGCTGGTCTATTTTGAGTCAGGGTCTAAGAGCTGTAAGACTTTGAGGAACAAACTAACTTCTTCCTTGGACCCTTCTCATTCAACTGACAGCATTCTTAACAAAGAAGGTTTCACAGTAATTTACATATTCTTTCTTAGGCCTGATCATCCAGGGAATCTGCCCTTTTCAGCACAGAGCTGCACCACCCCGTCATTGTTTCAGGCTTAGGTGGAGCACAGGAAGTAAGGCAACCAAGAGATAAGGAGATTTTCTCCCAGACGATGAGAACTCAGGCTGTGTCAAAGCTGAGGAGCGAGGGTCCATCACCCCCTTTTGCTGCAGCCCCCCAAGTCCTTCTTTTGGGGGGCTCCCACGTGATCGTTCCTATCTTAGGTCATTCCCCCCTTGGGGAATCTTACTTGTCTTTGGCTAACCGACCAAGCTTTGGGGTTCAGTTATGAATGAAGCAGCAGAAGCAGCATTCCTGCCTGGGAGATAAGCTTTTGTCTCCTTGCTGCCTTACGGTTCCAAGGGCGTTCCCTTAGCCTTAGCCTAGGTGGGGTTTTAGCTTCTGATATCAGGCAGGGCGGTTCCCAACATTGGCGGATGAAATTGTGTCAGGGATCTGGACATAAGATCATCCTGGACGCAGGGTGGGCCGTGACATCCCAGGACTGGTGTCCTCCTAAGAGAAAGGAGAGGACAGCTTGACGCACACAGAAGGGGGCGCCCAGGAAGAGAGTCGAAGACTGGAGGGATGCGTCCACCATCTCGGCGGCAGGCTCGCCTCATGCTGATAAAGACAACGTATCATGAAAGACAACAACTATCGAAAACAGCAGTTTGTAGAATTAAAAACTGAGAACCGCAAGGCAAATCTCTTGCAACAACCTCTGGGACACGTAGTTGGAAAATCCACGAAGACACAGCAGGTCTGAACAGCGCCATCCATCGGCACAGCTGGTCTCGCTGAACGTTCCTGCAGCAGCAGCAGCAGCAGCAGCAGCAGCAGCGGCAAAACGTGCCCTCCTCTCCGGTGCTCGCCGGACTTTCACCCAGGAGACCGTACCCTGGGCCTTCCGAAAGGGCATAATACAGTTTTGAAAAGTCAGGTCATACAGGTTATGCCTTCTGACCACAGTACTTAGGGATTTGGGGTTTGCTTTTTCCTTTTTGTTTAAGTCCCTGCTTTAAAAGAAACACACACACACACACACACACACACACACACACACATGCCTGTTGGTGGTGGCGAGGGGGTTAGGGATGACACTGCACTCTCAGCACCTGGTCCAGTCGTGTTTCTAACAAGACCCAGACCCAGGAGTAATACTTGTGAAACAGCCCTCACCAGTCACATTTACGGACCCTGAAATGCAGCCCCTTAAAACCTGCCCCAAACCCGGGATCCAGGGGACACACTGCCCGGGGCCTGGCCTCCGGGCTGGCAAGCAAAGCGCCCCTTTCCCCAAAGGCAGGTGCCATTGCCTTGGCTTCCGAGCTCTGGGGATATCGAACCCTTGTTTGGGAACGAGATTGAAGATGGCCACGTGACCAACGTGCTCAGGTAGACGCTGTACAGGTTTCAAAATTCCCCCAATTTGCGCCGCCCTGTTGCTATTTACGTTTAAGCACCGACTTCTACAGCTAGGAAACCCTCCTTGCACCTCCTAAAATGCACGTGGAGACATTTGCCGTGCACCTCCCAAATACAGGTGCTTCGGGCAGGTGTCCAGGCGTGCCCTGCATCGGGGACTCTTCGGCGAGAAAGGGAAGGGGCCGAGTTTGCGAGGGGGCAGGGGGAGGGGGGTCTGGAATCCGCGGCAGCCCGCAGGGGCAGCCGGGGAACTGGTTCCCGGGCCTCGCTCGGCGCAGCCCCGCGGGCCCGGGAGGCTCCGCCCTGGCCTCCCCTCCCCGTCCCGCCCGCCCTGGACACCCCGCCCCGGCCCGTGGCGGCTGCGGCAGGCGAAGGCTGCGCGCTGCGGAATTTTGTCCCCAGCGGCGTCCCCTCCGCCCGCGGCAGCGGCGCTGGCGTCCCTGGCGGCGGCGGCGGCGGCAGCCGAGCGCCCCGGAGACGCGCGGGCGGGCCCGCCGGCCTAGTGGCCGCCAGACGCGGAGGCCGGCCGCCGCCCGGCGCCACCCGAGCGGAGGGGGACTTGGGGGAGGCCCGGCGCCCTCCCGCCCTCCGGCCGCCGCCGCCGCCGCCGGGGGCCCCGGCCGGGCAGGGGGCGCGGCGCGCGCCGGGAGCGCCGGAGATGGCGGGAGGGCACTGCGGCGGCTTCCCCGCGGCGGCGGCCGGCAGCGGCGAGATCGTGCAGCTCAACGTGGGGGGGACCAGGTGGGCCGGCGCGGCGGGGCCTGGGCGGGGGGCGCGGCCTCCCGGGGCGTGGGGGGGCGGCGGGGACGCGGTGGCGCGAGAAGGCGGGCGGGTGCGGGGGGCGCGCGGGCCGAGGTGGCGGGGCTGGACTGGGTGCCGTCTGCGTCTGCACGGGGCAAGGACGGGCTCTGGGGCCTCGCGTATCGCTCCCTCGGTCCCGGCCCCTTCCCAAGGCACCCGCCTGGCCCGGTGGCTGGGCCGGGGCAGGCGAGGGGGTTCCCTCCCGCCCTCCGAGCCCGGGCGCATCGGTCCGCCGGCGGGGGGAGAAAGCGCGCGGGTCCGGTGAGGGCCCTCGGGTGCTGGGCGTGCAGACGTGCGGGGCGTCGTTATTCTCAGAGCCTCTCGGTGCGCGGCCCTGCGGGATTGTGCAACTTTTAGGGCAACGTGTCCAGAAACTTCACTTCGCAGAGTTGGTTCTGGGAAGCCCGGGCTGTGGGCATCGTGTGCCGCCCTCGTGGAAAACAGACAGACACACAGCTCCTCTGTCCTCTTTCTGGTCTGCCTCCCCCTCTCTGCCTTTTACTGAGCTTGTTGGGGAAAAAAACATCCCTCCCCTTTCTTTTCTGGTGAATTGACTATGGCTTATGAGTCAGCCCTCAAAAAACGGGCGTTTGCCAATTCTGCTGAAGGCACAAGCAGTTGAGTTTTAGTGTTGGTGGAGTGTTTTGGAATGCAGCGTATCTTGCTGTGCTCGAATATCTTAGATTTTTAAAATAATGGTTTTAAAAGTGCAAAATGGAAACAGCGTGAGCCATAGCGATGGCATGTTTGAATCTCAGGCGTTCAGTAGTTGTCAAAGTGCACTGGAAAATGTAACACAAGAATTACTCCTCCCTCGTTCCTTGCAACACCCACCCCCCCACCCCCCCCCCCCCCCCCACCCCCCCCACCCCCCCCGCCCCAAACAAAACGGTTCAATAGTGAAGAAGTTACAGCATTGTTGTCGCTGTGTAGACACTAATCTTACGGAGATTTGCTCCCTAGTGTAAGAAATGGATACGTTCCCGAAATCAGTGAAAAGTGTGCAGGTTGGGGAGTCTACGGATGGGAGATTGGAACACCTGCAGGGTTAGGCCTCCTTCAGTGTCGATACTGAGGAGTAACTAGTCATTTAAAGTCCTTACTCTGGTGTCTTGTCGCTCCTGTTTGCTGACAGATGCATTTCCAGGCATTCCAAAGGGCGTGCAGCGTTAGGATAAAAATTGAACGGTACTGTTACTTCCATACGTTGAAAGTTCATGGCTTTATAGTGAATGGACTCTTGTTAACGACTGGACCTTAGAATTCAGTTTAAAAACTTTAAATCATGGAAGGAAGTTTTCTTCCAGCTGGAAGATTTTACATTGTGTTTCAGTGTTTCTGAAACTTGATCAGGTTCTAAATTTTTCTAAGTGACGATCTTAGCAAAGAATACAACGTAAGACAGATATATTAGAAAGATTTAGAAAGCTGGACGGAGGTTGTTCCTCAGGAATGAGAATAAAGAAAAAAAGCCACCCTTGAGAATAGCATGCTTTCTGGTGAGTAGAGCCATGGCCTGTGTACAGAAATGGCACACCCAGCAGCAGTGAATGTTCTCAGACTGTTTTCCCGGGTTGCTCTGAATCATAGACTCTTGCATCATTCTAGAGCTGGCAGGGATCTAGAAGTCATCGATATCTCGTGCAGAACACAGAGCAGCAGTCACGGAACTCGCTGTAAAGAAAGCCCCGCTGGAACCCTCACTAAACTCCAGGGACTGCCTGCCCCCGGAGAGCCCTCTGGGGTGGCTGGAGGTTGCAGAGTGAAACTCAGAAGCGGCACGTGCCGTGGGCAGGGTCGTCTCACTTTTTTAATTTCCAGAGAAGTGAGATCCAGAATAGATAGACATGCTCAGTGAAATTGTATAAATGACCAATTTTTATGATTTATCTTTGGGAGTGATTCAGACAAAAGATGAAGTTTCATTTAGAATTGTTAGTAGTGTTTACCAAAAAAAACCCAAAACAACAACCAAGCCCTAATGAAGTGAAAGGAACTCAATATGACTCAATTTGTGATTAATTCTATTAGAGTGGCTATGATTTGAGGGGTCCCGAGAGAGGCCTGGGACCGTCCTTGGGGGGACTCATGGACAGAGAACTTTGGAGTGAGACAGATAGGGGTTCCAGTTCCCAGGTTTTACCTCTGACCAGCAGCCACCTCGGGCACGTTATTTTCTAGGTCTTGGTTTCCAAAAATGTGAAGGGACAATCATAGTGCCAGCCTTACTGGATTGCTAAAGGAATTTGAAGGAATGAATGGGAAATGCAAGGGTTATTGGCATTACCAATGGTAACATTGCAGAATACATAATTTTAATTAGATTGCTTCCAAGTTAGTTTCGCAGGAGGCGAGTAGCGTCATGTGCACAGGTGAGCATGCTGATGTCTTCAGTAATGCTTTCGTGGAGACCGGACTGCACGTGTCCCTTGGCTTGGCACACTGTGGGTGTGAGTGAAAACCCTTAGAAAGGATGCTTTCATATATGGTGCAGAAAAGTCTCGTCGTGTAATTTTAAGTGTAGTTTTCATGAAGTCATATTTGGAACCAGCTTAGGAGCTCTGGGTTTTTTCCTGTCTAACTCTTGTTTGAAAATTTAAAAAAAAAGTTGTGGGGGAGAGAGTACTATTCCTCTACCCCAAAATACCCGATTGCTAAGCCCACCCCACATTGGTGATTCTAATTGAAATTATTACTGTGACTTTAGGCAGACCTGTGCAGATTTCTAAGTAACATAAAATCGGAGTTATTTGGCAGGCGTTTTGCTGAGTAAGTCCCAGGGAATGTGAAAGGCATGCGCTCTGATACATAGTGACTCATTGTGGGTCCTCCAGTTTACCAGCCACTGGATTTGCTTTTATTTATTTCACCAGGTCAGTTTCCTGTGGATAGTTATAGTCTCATTGGTTCTTAAGAGTCTGCTAAGGAACCGCTGGGGCAAATTCGCCCTGCTTTCTTGAACGGACTGTGTGGCTCCTTTCTGAAATCCGATTCATGGGCACAGGAGCGGCTTTGAAAAGCTTTAACGACAGTGTTCAGATCATGGGGGCTGGATTGGACGAGCCCAAGAGTTCATTCTTGGTCATGTGACTTTACACCAGTTGCTGATTTTTGTGTGTCCCGGTCTGTTATACTGAGCCTTGGTGAACTTCCCTCTATGTGTGCTCATAAGCAGACTTGATCAAATGTCAGTTAACCGCAGAATAACGCATGCTGTATTAACTGAGTGATTTTTTTAAAGTGAATGAATATGACAATTGCAAGTCGCCTAAGGCTGCACTTAAAGTGTTAAATGCATTATGTACAATGGAATTACTATGAGCTCAACATGATAACACAGGATAGACTATTTGGAAAAGCCATTATCCAGAAGGTACAACCTTAAGAGTTTTAAGGAAGATGGATGGGGCTTTGATTATGGGATGTCACAAGAGCTGTGTAGCTGGGATAAACTTAAAAAACTGAAATGGTAATGACCATGAATTTGGGGGATACTGAGCACCCTCTCTGAGAGGGGAACGGGGCTTGTGCTGGGGAGGTGAAAGGGGACCTGAGGAAGATCCTGAGGTTAGGTTGAGACGGTTCGAGGTGGCGTAGAGGGCTGGTGGTTGATTCTTCGGCAGGCGGCATGCTGGGATGCACTGTGTAGGGAAGCATTACATGTCCGTGAGTTAATTATTTGATTTTGTTGAGACCTCTGAATGCTTTTAACTCTGAATTGAAAGAAATCTAAAAATATGAAATGTGATGAATACAGTTGATAGGGTTATAGCTTTGCAACAACTTGTAAATCATTGGCCAGCATATTAGAGCAAGTTAACTGATATCGGAGTTTTGAATATATTCTCACTTATAATGCCAGACACTTTTCCATTGCAGATTTAGCACCTCAAAACAGACACTCATGTGGATTCCAGATTCCTTCTTTTCCAGGTATTTCATATAATTTTTAGTGCCATTTTTTAATATACTTAGTATTTATCAAATCAGTAAAATCTTCCTTGTCTGTTAAATTAATATTTTTATTTCTTAAATAAAATATCTTAACTTTTAAATTAAGAATTTGTCTTATACTGAGTAAAGTTTTCTTCTTTGCCACAAAAAAATGATAATTTTTGAAAAATTTTGCTTTGGAGATAAGGTGGCTCATTTGTGTTGGTCATTATCACTTGATAAGGAATCAGGAGACGTATCCAGACTCAGATTTTAAACACTAACCAGCTTATGGTTAATGACTTACAGTTTGCTGAGTGGAAGAATCTCAACGCTTCGCGATGAAACTGGTGCTGTAAGTACAATCACGTGAATATGTATCCAGATTAGATCAAGGCCTAGAATGCTTGATTCTTACTCTAATGCGACTCCTAGAAGGCAAGAAAGCTAATATTTTAATAAGGACTAAGTGAAAGTGGCGTGTACACACTTAAAGTTTATTATTTTTTGTCCTGTGTAGACGGTTCCTATATTTACAAAGGAGAACTCTGTACAGGGCACACCACACACAGCAGTTTCAGTATCCGCGGTTACAGGCAGTGCGGGAGGTGAGCCTACATTGTCAGTAAAGTAATTGTCATCAGTGAGCAGAACGGTAACAGCAGATGGAGTGATGCAAACAGTGGAACATTTTCATACCGCATTGACGTGGCGTACGATATTGCAAGTTAGGCAAGTCCTGCAACCTTTCCTTAAAATTTATTTTTTATTTGGGAGAACCCCCCTCATGAAGTTGTATAGCCGGAGGCATAAGGGAATGAAAGAACCACGATGTTGCAGCACAAAAGGAATTGGTTTATACACTCAACAGGCAGCTCTGACGTGCACGGCAGCGGACAAAGTCGATGTCTCCTGCCGTCAGAAGCAGGAGGGCTCTCTGTTGGGGGCGGCAGTGACCACCGGTGCTCCGTGGCTCTGGTGACGCTGGCAGGTGAAATGACGCAGCAGCGGCAGCAGCGTGCCTGTGTGAGGTTATGAGGAGGCATCAGGAATGAGACCCCCACGAAGTCTCGGTGTCTCCTCCACTTCAGATCGGTCCTAATACGAGACATAGCGAGAGTTTATGAACGTTTTTCACTGGACGTGCACAATGTGTCGTGGGGAAAAGAGGTTATTGGCTGCTGTCCCCACACTGACGTACACGTCAGTTTTGTGGTTAGAGCTTTTGTCATGGGTTCGAAGTGACGTTGATGCCCGTCCCTGTGAAAAGTTATCAGTGATGTATTTCCCAATTTTACGCATTTTATTTTCCCCTTCATATCCTGTGGCGCTGTATTTGTTATTAAAAAAAAAACAGTTTTGGGGGGCGTCAGCCCACGTTCCCCAGCCCTCGCCAGCGTCCCCTTCCGGCTCTGACCGTAGCATGCAGTGCATTCTTTCCTCACGGCCCTGCCCCGTGTGGGTGCGCGTTGTGGAGGTGCACCGTTGTGTCACTGTGCCACGTGCACATCACAGAGTGTGGGAGTCACAGTCGCTGTCACCAATAATTAATCATCAGGCAACAGGAGAAAGTATTATTAATGCGTAATGTTTTCAAAGTATTCATTAAGTTCTGGAATGCTTCAGATAAAAATGCCTGGGTGTCACTTGTACCAGAGACACGGGTCAAGAAATGAGAGAACTGACTTACCAGATACTGTCTCCCTACGTGTTAAAATATCATGGACCTAATAGCTCTTCGGGGCGGAAACACTACCGTATTAAATGCGCACAGTTGTAGCTGCATTCCAGGGAATTGCAGCATTTCAATGACTCAGTCTTTGTTCCCTAAGTTAGTGCTACAGATGCTGAAGTTCGAAGTTGCAGCTGTACTTGGAAAATAAAACAATTTCTCATTTACAGATATTTATTGATAGAGATCCTGCAGCATTTGCACCCATTTTAAATTTTCTTCGGACAAAAGAATTAGACTTAAGGTAAGAAATGCATCCTTTTAAATAAATCCTGGTTGATGGGTATGGCGTTGGTCCTAATGGCTTTGAAGGAAAGGTCTTTTCTATGATAAGTTTTCTGAGCATGAAACTCTCATATGGGCAGAGGCCCCCTTCCTGCCTTCCTCCAGACTGCCTGCCCCACGGGCTCCTGGCCACTCTCCCCCACCTCCTGACCATACCTCTCCACCTCCTGACCACGCCTCCCCACCTCCTGGCCAAACCCCCTACCTCCTGACCACACCTCCCCACCTTCTGACCACACCTCCCCACCTCCTGACCACTCTCCCCCACCTCCTGACCACTCACTCTCACCTCCTGACCACGCCTCCCCACCTCCTGGCCATGCCCCTACCTCCTGACCACGCCTCCCCACCTCCTGACAACTCTCCCCACCTCCTGACCACACCCCTCCACCTTCTGACCAGACCTCCCCACCTCCTTCTGCATCCCTGCACTGTAGCTTCCAGACTCTTCTAACACTGTCCATCTAGTCCAGTCACCACTCTCCTTAAAACGTCTGTTTACTCACCTTGAGCTCCCCCAGGGCTCGGCTGTACCCACCCGGTGCAGGTGCTGCGCCTCATCTCCTGTGCTGCCCCCACCCGTGCGTCCGGGACACGCACCCCTCTCTTGGGGTCTGTCTGTCCTTAGACTGTATCCCTCCAGGGTGGGCACTGTTTCCTGTGCATCCTCAGGGCCCAGTACTGTGCTCGACGCTGCCGCGGGGGTGGCATTGATGAATGATCATGTAAACTATTTCTTTTTTTTTTTTAAGATTATATTTATTTTTAGAGAGAGGGGAAGGAAAGGAGAAAGAGAAGGGGAGAAGGGTCAATGGGTGGTTGCCTCTCACGCGCACTCTACTGGGGACCTGGCCCACAACCCAGGCATGTGCCCTGACTGGGAATCGAACCAGTGACCTTTTGGTTCCCAGGCCCACACTCAATCCACTGAGCCACACCAGCCAGAGCTAAACTATTTAACTTTGCCATAGTCTGAATTGTTACCAGGAAGCTATAATCCAATTTGTATTTTATTGTCCTTTTATTTCACATATTGCTAGTGAACTTTCAGTGAGAATTTATTAATATTATATGCATGCAGCTTTTAAAATTCCAATTGTTGACTCGAGCTACCACTTTGTAACATTATGATAAAAAGTTAAGATCCATTAATGTCGTACGAGAGTGATTTCACTTGTTTGCCTTATGAGGCGCTTCTTGGTGGTTTATTTTTCTCAGTCGCCCATCTCATCCATATAGGAATGGTTTTAAAGCAGGAGAATATTTCTGTTGGTGTGCAACTTTATTTAGACTTTTCCAAATGATTGAGGATTTTAGGAGAAAGGAAGTGTGGAAGCCTTGTGATTCTGGTCGCACGAAGCACCTGTTACTTCTCCCTTTTGCCTCACATGCTAACCCGAGTTGCCACATCAGGAGACTGACCTCCCCGGTTTCTCCGCAGGGGAGTGAGCATTAACGTGCTCAGGCACGAAGCCGAATTTTACGGAATCACTCCATTAGGTATGTGTTCCAGTCCCGTCCGTAGGATTTGCCCTTTTGTGCCCTAAGTTGCCCACATAACGTGTGTCTCCTGCCGGGCCTAAGTTTTTGGTGGACTAGTTCAGTGTTAACTTTCTGTGGATTTCCGCCGTACAAGCAATGTTGTTGTCGGCTGATACAGGGCGAGCATCTTCCCGTCTTTCCCTCACCCCGTTGAGCCAGGGAAACGGGCCGTGGAGCTCTGTTCGCCGTGCCCTTGACCGTGTGCTTTGCCGTTCGCAGTGCGCCGGCTCCTGCTGTGCGAGGAACTGGAGCGCTCGTCCTGCGGCAGCGTGCTCTTCCACGGCTACCTGCCCCCGCCAGGTACCCTGCTCCCGGCCCGTCTTCCCGCGCGTGCTTCTTGCCAAACACGTGTAGCAGTGGGGAGAACAGAGATGTGTTCTCTGACTCTTGACCTTCTCCTTTGAAAATTGAGTAGCAATGGTGAGGACTTAAATTTTAGTAGCAGTTCCGCCGTCGCACGTGGAGGAGCCGCCGCGTGCCCGAGCGCCCCCGTCCGGGCGCGGGAGGCCACTGCGGAGCTCCGCCGCGCACACGGCAGAAGTGCGCGCGTGTGACTGTACCGCGGGCTCTGTTAACGCGGAGGGCTCGGGCTGGCCTCCTAGCGCGGGGCCAGGGCGCCGGCCGTCTTGCCAGTCTCCTCGTAGAGCCCCGGCACTCTGCAGCGATGTTGGTGGACGGGACAGAGGCCAGTAAGGCGCGTGTCCTCTCTGCCCTCTGCAGCTAGGAACTGCTTTCTGCCCCCCCCCGGGTTCCGGTGGGCCTCGGAGCAGGGTTCCGCTCCACTGAGGACCCCTCAGCCCGCCAGACAAAAGGAAGGCGTTTGAAAGTACGGGCGGTTCGGCTCCGAAGCCGCTCAGAGGAGTGCTTCATACCTAACACGCAGTAACTGTTCGGTGTCAAGACCAGCGGCAGACCAAGTGAGCTGACGGTTGCTCTCAGTGACGCGGAGCTAGGTCGAGGTGGAGTCCACTGTGATAAAGCGTAACCTGATTTATGTATGACGTGATAAGTGACAGATCTGTTAGGTTTTGTTTTTTATGGTAATTAAATGATTTATAACAAATTGCTGTATTGGAAGATAGAGACAGACTGTAATGAGATGCACATACTTATGTTGCTTTGATACAACATGGAATTTTAAGTCGTTTTCGGCGAACTCAGAAATAAACTGGTCTTCTTTCCTTCCGTAGGTATTCCTAGCCGGAAGATAAACAACGCGACGAGACCCCCTGCGGACTCCAGGAACGGACTGAACTCTGCGGAAGGGGAGGCGCGGGGAAACGGGGCCCAGCCTGTCCTCTCTGGGTCCGGGGAAGAGACCGTCAGGCTGGGTGAGCGAAGACTGCTGAAGTAGGGAAAGAGAGGTCCCTGTTTCTAGTGTTAGCCGGTACTCAGTGTTTAGAAGGATGCACTTTTGCCTCGTCTTGCATTTTAATCCAGATTTATCATTTATATCTGATGGAACTTATTTTTAAAAATATGTAATACTCTGCTTGCTCTAAATCTGTAGTGCAGGGGTTGAGCAATTTCTCATGTACAAGGGCCACACAGTAAATAGTCTAGGCTCTGTGGGCCCCGCAGGCTCTGCCTCGGTGGAGGGACAGCAGCCTGGAACCACACGTGAGCGCGTGTGCACCCCTGCGCCCCAGCAGAGCTGCACCTGCGCAGGGAGAGGCCGGGGACTGGCTGGGGACTGGCCGGCGCCTGAGACGGGAAACAGCTCTTTCTCTAAACCCCCAGGCTTCCCCGTGGACCCTCGCAAGGTGCTGATAGTGGCCGGCCACCACAACTGGATCGTCGCCGCCTACGCCCACTTTGCGGTGTGCTACAGGTGCCGTGCAGTCCTGGCGCCGAGTGTGCTTTCTTCGGGGGCCGGGGGGGTGGGGGGGGCGTCTTCATTGTCGGGATTTCCCATTCACAGACTGAGGAACTGTTTCCTTCAGTCGTCAGATTTTCCCCCGGCATATTCTGCCCATGTCTGTATCTCTTGATTAGATTCAGTTTGCTTTTATTTCACGGCTAACTTGGGGAATACTGCTGGTAGCCTTAATGTGTCTCAGATACTTCCCACACAATATGAACCATGATGTCACTGAGGTCTCTTGAAGTTACTCGGTCTTGCATATTATATACATCCAGCTACTAAACCATTTAACTATTGTCGTAAATGACCAGGCGGGATTATTACTGGAGCCTCTTGTGTTCTGTTCATTCCTTTCAGGGAAGGCAAAGAGAAGCTTTGCAACTTTGTTTCACCTGTTTACTGTAACTTTAAAACAGGTGTTCCACAGTTCAAGGTCAGGCCATTCACTGTCATGACTGCACAGTGGGGTGGCCTCTGAAAGTACCACGGCTGCTGGGCAGCCATGCAGAGTCCATGTCAGAGCCTCAGGATAGGGGAGGAGAAAGTATTAAAAATTGACAGGTATGTTGATCAGAAATTAAATAGTAAAGAATGCATTGACTGTTCACCTTCAGTCACCTGCAAGTCCGAGCCCTGGTAATAAGCCTTTGCGTGTGGGAATAAGTAGGTGCGTGAGAGTTTTCACTTAGACGAAACCGTTGGAATCCAGTCCTCAGACGGGCTCCAGGCCCCGCGTTCTGCTCACGGTGGTGGTGCCGGGGCACTGGCACACGCACGTCACAGCACGCCATCCCTTGTCTTGGTCTGCGGGGGCCAGTGTCGCCGGCACGAAGAGACACTAGCGCAGGTGCATGTGGCGTCGGCTGCCACTGATGATGATACCTGAACACCCGACAGCGATCCTGTCCCAACGTTCTGATGTGTGTGGACTGTTCCTACCCTTAGATAATGACAGTGACGGTAGCACTTTCTTATGGAGAAGAGTAAAAGGCTCAACTTTCTTTTTAAGTTGTTAATGTTGACTTTCAACTTGGAGGGCTTTTCCGAATTCTCCTTTGCAGAGGTACAGAGTGGTCATCTCTTTTTAAAGTGGTTTAGACCTCGTACGTTACGTAAGGACAGGATATTTCAGGAATGACATGCTGCGTTTGCAGAGGAAACGTGCCGACGGAGCCTTGTATTTAACGTGAAGGCTGGCAGTCGACTCGCGCATGCGCTGGCCCGCTCGCTGCGCCGCGCTCGCTTTGGCTGCCACTGAGCCCGCGCGGGCGCCCCTCTCCCCGCACAGGATCAAGGAGTCCTCGGGGTGGCAGCAGGTGTTCACCAGCCCGTACCTGGACTGGACCGTGGAGCGCGTGGCCCTGAACGCCAAGGTGGTCGGCGGTCCCCACGGGGACAAGGACAAGATGGTGGCGGTGGCCTCCGAGAGCAGCATCATCCTGTGGAGCGTGCAGGACGGCGGGAGCGGCAGTGAGATCGGTAGGGAGGGTTGTTCTGCGCGCGGCTGGGACGTGCGTGTATAGTGCCCTGCAGCTCACCAGGGGGTGCCCGTGAACGACAAACCTAGTAACCTGGGCACAGACTGGCTGGAGCGGCCCCACCGTCTGCTCAGGGCCCAGCGGTAATGGGCCCGCCCACTGTGAGGGAAACGGTCGGGAAAGAGGGAAAGAGGGATGTTTGGGAGGAAGGGGCCTCCCCACCACCTGGCTGCAGCGGACACCTGGGCGGCGAGTGCGGTGCTGCGCTGCTGCTCCGCAGTCTCCCCCGGCGCGCTCCGCCCGGCCTGCAGACGTCCCCGGGGGCTTGTCAGACAGAGCGCGCGATTCCTGACAGTTTCCCACACTTGCAGTGTTTCCGCACCACGTGGGTCTGTGGGCAAACACTCCCGTGAAAGGTCTCCAGTGACCTGATCAGTTGTGCGGATACCGGATGAACAGAAGCAAAACACAGTCCCGTCCACGTCTGGAGATTCATGTGTTTGTCAGAAAGAAACACGGTTCCGCAGACACCACACTGTCTCTGCCGCCTCCTGACCTGGGAGGCCGCCTCTGTGGGTCCAGGTGGCAGCGTGCGACTTCCTGCGCTGCCCTTTCACCCCGCGGACCCCGAGGTTCAGCGCCTCCCTCCCCGGCGACGGTGTGCGCCTCGGTCCAGCGCCCTGTCGTAGCCTGGCCTGACTCGAGCGTGCGCGGTTATCTCCATGGTCGACTGGGTGCGGGAAGCACAGCCCCAGATAACCAGACGCTCTGGCTCTGTCCGTGGGGCGGACTTCTGTCTGCTGGGGGCGCCGTGTGAGCCGCTTCGGGAGCTCTCGCTCCTGGCCCCCAAAGCGTCTAGCACACAAGCCGCAGCAATGAGACTGGACTACACCTAGTCACCTTTAAAATGTCCAGTCTGGGTGCTGGTCAGTTGTAAAGAGGGCGGCCGGTTAACCTCCTTGCCTTCTTCTGTCGCTTCAGGAGTGTTCAGCCTTGGCGTCCCCGTGGACGCGCTCTTCTTCATCGGGAACCAGCTGGTGGCCACGAGTCACACGGGGAAGGTGGGAGTGTGGAACGCTGTCACTCAGCACTGGCAGGTGAGCTCCGCCCGGCGCGGGCGACAGGCTCAAAGCCGTTTCTGGAACTCCTGCTGGTCGTGCATCTGTTTGTTGTGGAATTAATTCGTGTCGTTTCTGAGTGTGCTGACACAGAAAAGTGAATATATTTAGGGATAAATTCGCCTCTAGGTACAAATCTGACTGTGCTTTCAGTAATTTTAAGTACCTCTGGAAAATGAGATTTTACACTGGGAGCTGACACTTCTTCGTTCCCGAGTGGAAGCGCGGATCTGTGGGAAGCCACGCAGCCCGCGAGGAGAACACAGCAGGCAGAGCGATTGAGGGCCCTCGACAGGCACGGGCGGGGGGGGGGGGCGTGAAGACTCACGAAGATGAAGGCCTGATGCCAAAGGAGGGAGGCACGAGTCCGGAACTTGAAGCAGAGAGTTCCGTGGTCGGATGTAGGCTTTGGAAAGATGGCAGTGGTGACTGATGGGCGAGGTGGGCCTGGAGCTGGGGGAGGTGGGCCGGGAGCTGGGGGAGGGGCCGGAGCGCACTAGCCAGCTAGCGCTGTGCAGACCCAGCTGCAGACCGAGCTGCAGTCGTGGGAGCAGCATGCAGGGACGGGCTGCTGAGAGCCGGTTCAGGAGCCTTTCCAGTGACGGCACTGGGTCTGACTAGGGGTGCGAGATGCTGGACTTCTAGTTCTGACAGTCGAGTGGCTGGTAATTTTGAGTTGCTGGGGAACATAGGAAGGGAAACAGACGATGGTGGCTGGTGGGAGGAATAATTAGATCGATTCACAGTGGCTACTTCCAGATTCCTACGGGCTCCAGGTGCTGGTGTTCCGTATATGGTTGGAACTGTACCTTTGGAAAGGGCTAGAAAGAAGTATTTGGACACCACAGCCCTTCTGTAACAACTGAAAGATAAGCAGCGATGAGATTTTCCACTGAGAGGGAACTCGGAGAGACGGAAACTCTGGGGGACACAGGAGCATTTCACGGGGACGAGGGAGGAAACCGCCAGCCACAGGGCGCATGCGCAGGGCGCGTTCGTGTGGGTGCCCATGAGACTAACCTTGCCCTGGACTGGAGGCCGCGGAGAGACGCCTCGCAGGCGTGTGACCGTGCGTGACACTGGGAGGTGCCTGCGGAGACCAGTGGCCTGGACGCCAGCTCTGATGGGAACCAATGTTTCTGAGTTTAGGTCTCTCTGCAGTTTTTCTTCCAACGGGAGTGGGCTGGGTCCTGTGCTTTTTTGTGCTGTTCTGCCGGGCGTGTCCTTGCCCCTCCTCTCCCAGACGCCCCGGGCGTTTCCAGCCCTCGGGCCGCACTTCTGCACGGACTCTGCCTTCATCTTCACCCTCCTCCCCACACGTGGGCTGAGAGGAGAGTTCCCCTCGACCCCAGCGGTGCGACACCCCGACTTTACAGCCTGTCGCCCTGCGTGTGTCGTTATTTTTCTTTCTCGCCTACAAGTCTACAAGCATCTGTGTTGCTCACCCCGCCCCGGGCTGTTCTCTTGGGTGGAGTCTCGTGCATGCAGAGCCTCCAGGGGAAAGCGGCTTGTGAGCTTCCCACGGTCGCTGGCCCAGTTCGGTGGCCCACTGGCCTGGCCGGGCAGGCGAGGGAAGGTGCTTTTTGATCTGATTGCCACTCCCCCTGCATTGTTCGTTTCCCCTTTGTTTTCTACAAAGTCCTGCCCTTTGCTCTTCTTTTATAGCGCAAATAGAGACAGCGATTAATTTGTAACTAGATTGATTTGCTTGGGAACTTAATGTTTTATTCTAGTGCTTGGAAAAACAAAGGCGTGTGAGAACTGACTCGCCTGTTACCATTTCCCGGGGGGCGGAGTCCGCGGTGCAGGGTCGGGGAGAGCAGAGAAGCCGGCTCTTTGGAGAAAGGACGGAATCATCGAGGGCATGCGTTCTCTCTGGAAGTCAGCTGATTCGTGTCCTAGTGCTGGTCCTGTCCTTCTTGGGTGACCTTGAGCAGGTCATTTGATGTGTCACGCACACTGCTCAGGCCTGGCCTTCCGGCCCTCGCGTGTGTTATGGTCTCCGAACCACGTGCAGGAAGGGGGGGGGGGGTCCATCCAGCTTCTGACAGGCAGGGGCTGCTGTCGGAAATAGACGTGTGTAACAGCTGAAAGGGCATCACACTATGACTCTTCCAAATTCCTCGTGTGTGGGGGGGGGGGTGTGCACGTCTGTACGTATAGAACGTCGTGTTTTCTAAGCCCTACTTACAGTGGGTATCAGTGCTCTTCTTGTTAAGAGTTTGGAGGAAACTGAGCAGAAAATGTAAACTCTAGTTAACACTGACATCTAATGACACTGTCACCGCATCAGGTCCAAGACGTGGTGCCCATAACCAGCTATGACACGGCGGGGTCCTTCCTGCTGCTCGGATGCAACAACGGGTCCATCTACTACATTGGTGAGCCCCCCTCCCCCCCCCCCCAGCAGCCTCCCGTGTTTGCAGACGAGAACGAGCATATCGCCTTTGTTTAGTCTGCAGTGAATGCACTGCTCTAATACTGCTTCATTATTTTTGTTTTTTAGATATGCAGAAGTTCCCTTTGCGCATGAAGGACAACGACCTCCTCGTGACTGAGCTGTATCACGACCCTTCCAATGACGCCATCACCGCGCTAAGCGTCTACCTCACACCCAAAACAAGTCAGTGCCCGGCGAGGGACGCGCGGTTCAGTGTGCGGGACTGAGGCGGTTCTTGGTGTTCGAGCATCGCAGTCGAGGGGTTTCATCCCCGTTGGTTCGTGTTTGTTTGGTACCAGAGTCCCACGTGACCGGGAAACAAGCCCAGCTGGAGGCGGGACGTTGGCGCTGTGTCTCCCCCTCCGAGTTGTGGGAGCCGCGTCCTTGCAGTGTTCACCGAGGCTGAGAGAAACCACGTGCGCGGTTACTTTGCACGGCAGGGGCCGATTTTCTTTTGAAATCGGGCGCTTTTGTATTTTTATCTGAAAAAAAGGGGGTGGGTCTTGGGCTGTTGATCTTTCCTGGGCAGTGAAAGATTAACACTTAATAAGTAAGCTTATGTCCTTGGGAAATCTTACATTTAAGTTGTGGGGAAACGCATTTTGCTTGGAAGTTCAGTATCTATAACTTTCATTGTCTTTCAAAGGCCATTGCAGTGAAATTAACAAACAAGTTCTAAATTATTATTAGCAGTTTTTATATTGCGGGGTGAAAGGTAAACCTAAGTGGGACATTTAAAACTTGTCAGTAGTGAAAGGGGTTTTAGGAAGTACTGACGCGTACAGTAACACCGAGAGATTGGGTGTTCCTGGTACAGAGTCATCTCGTTGAGTTCCTCGAAGGCAGTCATCGCCTTCGGTATGAAAATAACATCCCAGTGTGCGCGGGGGACTCTGATTGGACTTCAGCGGGGTTCCGGGGACGTGGTGCTAGGACGGGGGATCAGCAAGCAGGGCCCCCCCGCCCCGCCCACACACACACACACGGGTGCCGTGCCGCCCTTGGCCGCTGTGGGGCAGCAGAGAGTCAGGTGCTGGTAACAGACCTAGAGCGAGATGTGCGGGGTTTTCACCCCCACCCCCTCCACCAGCTCTAAATCAAAGCGCAGGGTGAACCGCGGCAGTGACGGGGGAGAATGGGGTCCCCACCCAGGTTATGAGAAGTGCCTCCCGGGCACGCGCTTTCTCCTTGGAGTCAGGTGGGTCCAGGTGGCTGGAGAGAAGAGCTGTTAAAGCGGAGAGGCTCTCTGTCCGGGAGGCTTTTATGAGCGCGGGTCCCGAACTCCACCCTGTCCCTGAGGACGGGGCGGAGTCTGGGCGCCTGTCTCCACGGCAAAGCTCCAGGTGACTCCGAAGGGCGAGCCTGATGCCAGCCCCGCGGCGGGGTGGGGGTGTTCCAGGGTCACGTGCTCTGAGACTGTTCAGTGGCGTGCACAGGGCGATCACTCAGGGAAGGGCCCGCATTGTGGCAGAAGGAGGAGGGTGGTCTTTCCGGGCTGGAAGTGGCAGGACCACGGCTGTGGGCACCGCTGATTGCGAGGTGCCCGTGGTGCTCCTCGCCCTTTCGGCCGACGTATGAACCCTTCCACACTCAGAGTACCTCCCGTGTCTCGGGCACGCTGCAGGTGACAGGCAGGAGGAAGGTCACGATTCAGTCCGTCGAGGAGCGGAGGCGGGCGGATAGGGCAGTGGATTACCGGCGTGTCACAGCCGCCGTGAGGGCGTCTAGCGCAGGGCCGGAGGGTGGAGGGCTGGGAAGGGCTTGCAGGAGTGTCGGGGCTCTGGCGGCCGAATCCGGGTTCTGTGCGTCAGCCCCAGTGCAGCCCCAGCCCAGCCGGGCACCGAGTCCGGCTCCGCCCTTCCACCTGGGGCGCGTTGCCATGGCAGCCCTTCTGCCGCGTCTGAGTGCCCCCTTCCTCCTGTGGCTGCAGGTGTCAGTGGGAACTGGATCGAGATCGCCTACGGTACGAGCTCCGGAGCAGTGCGCGTGATCGTGCAGCACCCCGAGACGGTGGGGTCGGGCCCCCAGCTCTTCCAGACCTTCACAGTCCACCGCAGCCCCGTCACCAAGATCATGCTGTCCGAGAAGCACCTGGTGTCAGGTGAGGGGCGGCATCCCGCCCGCCAGGGGGCCTGGGGCGGTGGGCTGAGCCCGCGGTTCCCCGTGCCCGCAGACTGAGAGGCCCTGGTGCAGTGTCTTCCGTGGGAAGGACACACTGACAGCTGGCAGGAAAGTTAGTGACTGCGGAAATGTTAGGGTGGGTTTTTAAGGATCCTTTGATTTCTGCTGGCTGCAGTACACATGAATTCAGGAGGTATCTCTTTATAAAAACTCACTTTCTGTTCTGATATGTTGTTCTCATGGCATATTTTATTTCAAAATATTGATCATAATTCTGTTGAAAGGCTTTTTATTATAGAAATTTCCCAAGTATAAATTTAATATAAATTTGGTAAGGCTAAAGTTGTACATTTAGATGTAATTTTGTTTGATCATCTTCTAAAAATACTAAAAACTAATAGAATTTATAGAGCTTATTGGAAGAGAATACATTGTTGAGTTTATTGTTCCTTGAGTTTTTCAATGTTGATAGTAATTTCTTCAAGCTTCAAACTGTGTATCTAAATTGATCGAGCGAGTCCGGAAGTGGGGGCACACAAAGTCACCTCCTGTTGACGCGCTTCTTTGTGTCCGTGGGTGATTCTGAAGGCCTTGCAGAGACCGCAGTGAGGCGAGAGTCAGGCCAGCAGAGCTGGGGCTTCCGTCTTCTGTAGGTCAGTCCCTGCCCAACTTGATTTTTTTAAAAACATCGTTTTCGTATGCCAAGTGTTTACGTGAAGACCACGTAGCATGCAGAGGGGATGCCTCTTTCCCGGGCCTTCAGTTCTGATGAGACGCCGGAGCTGAAATGCCCTGCGGTTGGAGGAATGTGCGTCTGTGGGCTGTCTAGCCGCGTGGGGTGTAGCCACGCCCTTCTGAAACCGTCCCTTCCTGAGGCTCTCCCGGGGCCGGGGCCATCTGTCTCACCCTCCTCGTCCGCCTCCCCAGGAGGCTGTCTCACTCTGCCGCCGGTCCCTCCTCTTTGCCCACCCGCCAAGTGGGGGACTGCCTCCATCCCTGTCCTGGGCTCTCCCTCTCCCTGTGCACTCCCCCAGGTGACTTGACGTGAGTCTCTCTGCCGCCACCTGTGACCACCCGCAGAGTCCAGACTTGGGTATTCCGTGTCTGTGGCTGCATAAAGGGGGACTGTTGATTTGTCCTCTTTGTACATCTTACCACCATTGTTCATTTACTCCACCGGGAAATCTGGGAATGAGGCTTGGAAGTCCGGTTACACCAATAAGTCCTATTAGCTTCACTCCGAGACTCCCGTGTTGTCATGGATCTGACCACCTCACTTCTCATCCTTTGCTGCCGACACAGTAGTGCCGATCAGCGTTTCTGCCCGGATGCAGAAATGTATAACACAGTAACGCCAACGCAGCCAGAAACATTGTTCAGAAACGCAAACGGGATCCGATTCCCAAGGGCTTCCTACTGTACGTGGAACAAATCAGTACATCCCTGTGGCTCTGCCTGCTCTGGACCCGCCTGCCTCCCCCGCGTCTTCTCCCCGCTCGCCCTGTCCCTTCCTGCCGCCCCCGACCCCAGCCTCCTTGGAGCGGCCCGCTGGGCCAGCCGGACCTCTGCCCCGCAGCCACCTGCTCTGTCGGTGTCTCGGTCGGTTTTCTTCTTGGACGCACCACTTGATGGTTGGTTTGTTCTCACCTGTCTTCCCCTTGTAGCAATTTAGAGTGAGATCTACGGTAGCAGGAGCTGGTGTTCTCCACCCTGTTCTCAGCACCGAGCACAGTTCTTCACACAGGGGAGGTGCCGAACGAGTGTTGTAGAATGAATGAGTTCTTCTGACCTCGTGAGAAGACTGTTTTGCAGGGTGCTGTGATTTTTCCGTGACAGCACTTGGGAATCTCAGGAGCTCTGGCTGTGTTTTGAGGGTGACGGTGACGGTGTTAGTGTAGGATGTGCTGCCGAACCACTCTGCGGTCAGACTTGCATTTTGATGCCAGCTGTTTCATGCAGTTCTGAAATTTAAGTGAAGTCACAAAGTCCGTTCAGCCGAACACCAGGAGTGTTTTGTTTTCCGTGCTCCACTAGGTTGTTCTGCCACCTGGTGGACGTCAGCGTACATGCAGTGACGTTCTTTTTCCCATAGTGTCGGTTTCTCTGTCTTAAGTAAAAGCTTTAGATAACGATTAATGTTAACAGATGGTCATAGTGCTCATTTGAATCACATAACAAAATTTGCCATAAGTTTTAAGGTATTTAAATTATTTTTCTGAAACCCAGCAAGGTTAATAGTGAAACCAGGGTATTATTTCCCATGGAGCTGAATAAACAGCCTAGAACTAAACATCTTTTCTTTTTTCAACCAGAAAGCTGGCACTGTGAGAACTGAGAATTTTGTTACTTAAGTAACATTTGTACATTTTTTTATTCTTGTTGCAATTAGCCAAAATTAAATTTCTTTCTAGTTTTGTTTTAGAGTTTTGTTTTACAATGTGCAACTATGGCATTTTACCCAAAAGGAAGTATTGTGTGTATACAGTGAATTTTGGGTGCTTTCTTGGTCTATATCGACGAGTAAGTTTTCTGAAATCATAATAAATTGTCAAGTTAGTATACTTTTTTATTAAGGCATGTCACCAAAGTATAGTTCTTGCATTAATGATATTTTTTTGGTTTCTGTTTTTTAATGGTGTATTCAGACCAAAGAAAGAGGTTACTTGTTAGATATGTCTTAGCATATGCTCATTTAATATTGTTTACATGAAAGAATAAGCTAATTTTGGAGTATGTTTTCAAATACAGACTTTTATTTGATGTAAAAATAGCTCTCAGCTTTCTATGGAATCTTAATTTTCTTTGCTGTAGCTGTGAATGAGCAAAAAACAGCTGGTTCCTAATAGCTTTTTGACAATCGTCATGTCACTTGTGACAAAAAATTTTCAGTAACTCCTGGTCTAGGCGGCTTAATATTTGAGTAATGCGAGTGGAAGTTTTCTGTGGTTTAAAAAGATAAAGTAGGCAACTTGTTTGCCATGGAGTTTCGCCGTGGAACAAATTAATCCTCAGTATGTTCTCTTACGAATGCTTTCTTTAACCCGTCCTGCTCTACAGGGTTCTTTTGTAAGGATCCGTAGATTCACTTACATGCCTGAGATACTTACAGCAAGGCGAAAACCGTGTTCTCTTATTTGTATTGGCTAGGTACAAGTTAAGAGTAATTTCAGGGTAAAGACGTCATCTGCCGGTCCGAGGGTGCTCTGGTCTGCTTGCTGGAGGCCGCAGGGGACAGAGCTGGAAGGTGTCCGCGAGGGTGGTTCTGCTGGGGCCCCTCCGCCCGCACTTAGTGGCTCTCGTGCGCTCTCTCCTCCCGCAGTCTGTGCGGACAACAACCACGTCCGCACGTGGACGGTGACGCGCTTCCGCGGCATGATCTCCACGCAGCCCGGGTCCACGCCGCTGGCCTCCTTCAAGATCCTGTCCCTGGAGGAGGCGGAGAGTCACGGGAGCTACTCCTCCGGGAACGACATCGGTGAGTGAGATGCCGGGGGGTTGGGCGGGGTGAGGCGGGGGCCAGGGGCGGGGCGCATCTGCACGTGCCCTGCGGCTGCGTGGGCGGCGCCCCAGTGTGCTGGCAACGGTAGGAGCCCAGATCCCCCCGGGTTCAGATGTGATTCCTAGTTGCAGCTTTGAAACTCATTTAAAACAAATTCAGTGTGTTTTTAGGTTCTATAAACATACAGGATTATAGCATCTTTCATTTTAAAAGTGAGCAAATTTTTCCTCTTATTAGCATTTCTCCTTTTAAAAATTATCTTCAAATGCTAACCATTGTTGTTTGTAATTAAAAGCTAGGGTGGCTGTATCTGAGACTTGGACTTTTTTCTTTCACTCCTTACCACCTGGAAATGAAACCTGAGGCTGTTCAAGGAAGGGCCAGTGAGGTTCTTCCACTCCCAGAGTGGTTGTGAGGCCCCTCGGCCCGTAGGAAACAGTGCGTGTGGCGCCTCCTTGGCTGGGCTCCGGTTCCAGGGCACGGTGTGTGGAGCCAGTTCGGTTTGTGTCCGTGCCGCACACACACACACACACGTGTGCGTGCGCCCAGTCCTGGCAGAGACCGGTCGTTTCGTTTCCCCAGGGCCCACCGCAGAGTGCACACTGTGTGTTCCTTGCCCCTCGGGGAGCTTTCAGTAGTTCGCCGGGACCTGCTGGCTGACTAGCGTGCGCTCCTGACCGTTGTGTGTGTGTGGTCAGAAATTACGGCACTGATGGAAGACGGGGGGGAGTGCCTTAGAATTGTTTTACTGTGATTGTTTTGCAGGAAACAGTTAAATGGGCCCATGCATGGTTCGCTCCCACAGCAAAGGCTTTAAGTGGTTACCTTTAAAAAGCCACTTCTGAGAACTGTACCGCCACAGACTTAGTGTTTTCAGGAAAAAATGCTCAGTGTTGCTAATTTTAACACTGCTCTCTGATTCCAGTTCTCCGTGTGATGCCGGGCACTGGGAGCTTACAGATTCATTTTGTCATTTCCCCGGCTTTATTGAGATTTAACTGACATATAACATAGTGTAAGTTTTAGCTGTAGGGTAAACATGATTATTGAGTACTTTTGGTCCAGGCATTAGCAATCTGATAAGAACGAAGTAAACATCCCCTCCGAGTATGGTGAGTGGTGGGAGCAAAAAGCACATGGTTGTGTTTTGTACACGGTGCCCGAAGGCAAAGGGCACCTGGGGAGATGGCTCTGGGCAGGCCATGCACCGGCCGCGGTGACGTGGGCTGTCCTTGCTGCCTCCGGCCAGCCTGCGTGGGCGGTGCGACCCCTACTGGGCGCCGGTGGGAACTGGTGTTCGGACCGAACGCCCGTAGAGGCAGTTGGTGTGTGAGCCGAGGCGTGCAGAGTGGGAGGTTCCCGTCCGGGCATTGCTGGCAGGGCGCGCGGCACGGTGAAGGGACAGAGGCCAGGAGGACCTGGCCCGTCGGGGGCGTGTCCAGGTCCTCAGTTGCGGGTGGGAGTGAGGGCAGAGCCCAGTGGTTTGGGCTCAGATGCGGGAGAAGAGACTCAGAAACAGCCCGGTGACATCCTTGAAACAAAGCAGGGAGAATTTGTTTTTCTTTATAGTTTAAAAAATATCCTAAGAGATACAGATGGGAGGAACAGAACAGGAAGTCCCGTTTCAGTGGGGAGAGGTCAGGGCCGACTCAGTTTTGGTGGTGATGCAGTAATGACTGTGGGAGGTGACTGCAAAAGATTAGAAGGCAAGAAAGTTCAGAGGTCGCATTTTTTATTGCTTCTGGAGCCCACTGAAGCTAGGAGCGATGTGAGGATACTTTGTGTTCTGAAGGACAGGAGTCAGTCTGGGGGAGGAGGGGAGAAACTGTACAGAGGGAGGTGGGACTGATGCATGGAAATCAGTCATGTGAGAAATCAGGACAAAGTGTGGGAGGTGGGAGGGGCAAGATCCAGTCCCGTAGTCCCCGTTCCGGGTACTGTACTCGTCACCACTGGCCTGACTTTGCTCCCAGGTTACTGATGAGGTCGTTTCCTCTCGGTAGAGTTAGACTTGGGAAGGTTGTCCAGTGGCTGGATGGCCGCGTGGCCCCAGGGAGAACACGGCAGTTTGGGTTCAGTTTCCAGTTCCGTCAAGTAGGAGCTGTGAGCCCTTTGGTGCCTTAGTTTTCTCATCTGTAAAATGGAGATAACAGTAGTGCACCCCTCATACGGCTGTAATGACCACATTCAGCTGTCTCTGAAGCATTTACTGTGCCACACGGTAAATTATTAAGATACTGTTTATTAGGTGTGATTTATATAAGATAACATGGGAATATCAGGTCTTTAAAACTTGTGTATCACATCTTTTGTTAATAATAAGTTAATATTATTTTAGCTGTTGAATATGATGGAAAAAAGGGTTATTAAAATTTGATATTTGTTTTGTATGAAAACATTTTATATTGTTCAGAATCTTCCTAAAATGGATGAGCCAATTAACCTGCCTTGCCAAGTACAATCAAGGAAAAATCATTGAATCTTTTTTCGATTGAAAACTTAGCAGGATGCAACAGGCTTCTTAGTAATTGAATTCTATTCAATGCAGTTGCACTTTTTTTTTTGGATTTTGCATGTTGGCTTTTCAAAGGTAAAATCAGCACATAAAAGTAACCTCATTTATATGTCCCTTTTTTGAAGTTAAGAGGAACTGAGCGCGTCCTCGAAGACAGTCGGGCAAGCAGAGCTGTGTTTAGCAGGCTTCCTTCTGGGCCTGGCCATGTGCAGCCTAAGCGTGTTGTCTTGCCTTCAGCTCTAAAAGCCTTCGTGCAAAGAATATAACTTGCGATAGGTATTTCTTTAAAGAAATTTTAATACCAAATGAAGTACTAGTATCGCTGTATTTGTCCAATTGACGTGGAATGCAACGCACGTTAACAGGCATGAAAAAGGCCTTTTCTTTTTCCACATTAATAATTGTTTTTAAATTAAACGAGACCATTTAAATTTTAATCAGGTTCTTCTGACACCTTCTGTTTTCCGACCAAGGGCCTTTCGGAGAGCGGGACGACCAGCAGGTGTTCATCCAGAAAGTGGTCCCCATCACCAACAAGCTGTTCGTGAGGCTCTCGTCCACTGGGAAGAGGTAAAACCGCCCGCCGCCCGGGGGCGCGCACTCAGCAGTCCCTCTGCCCCGCGGAGCGTGCCGCACTGGGCCACTGGGTACACCGATGGGTGCGCTGCCAGAAACACGCTGTTGGGAGAGAAGTGTGCTCGCGGTCTTGCGGTCTCTGTAACTCAGCACCCGGCTGTCCGGTGCGGGCCCCGCAGGACGTGGTTAGGGGTCCGTGCTGCCGCAGACGGCCAGGGAGGGCTGGTGAGGACTCCCCGCGGGCAGCCGAGCCAGCCTCTGACTCTGGCGGTTCCTCTCGCCGGCTGGGCGCCTTCAGCTTCGGTTACTTTGTTGCTTGGAGCCCCGGTTCTTTGTGAAAAAAGTTTCAGCGACCTTGGTGGGATGTCCGGGGGGCTCAGTGAGGTGAAAGCATGCGACCTGTCCTGTCCCCGACTGTAGTAGGTGCTGAGTAGAGGTGAGTTCCCTCCTCCTTTTCTATGTGACTGAAATTTCACTTTTTAAAAAATTTATTCATAGCCTCAAACACAGGGAGCTGTAACATTTTTTTTTTTAAAAAAGGTTGCGTGTCAAAAAGTAAAATTTCTGTTAGTAGTCATTAAGAGCATTATGGATGTTCACGTTAATGTTACTGGTGCTGATATTTTTAACAATATCTCAGTTATGGTTTCTTCAGCATGGGGTTTCTCATTTCTTAATGTTTTAGTAACTCTTTGAAATAAATTTCTTTTTATTGAAATTCACGGCAAATAGTTGTAGTAACTATTGAGTTAATTCCAGGAAATTCTATGTATTAAGGTATATTTTTTGTAAGCTTTTTTTTTTTTTTTAAAGAAATGCAGTGTAGTAGAGGCCCAATTATTATCTTGAGAAATGTCGTACATCGCTGTGATGTAGTGTTGTCAGCACAGTTGGTGAGGAGGCTGCCCAGCGTTTACTACAGCTGGCATCGTAACGTCACCTGACAACTAGCATTTCGTGTCCTGGTCACATTCTGACCTTCTCCTCGCTGTGGCCCAGACAGCGCAGTAAGTCGCCGCCACCTGCAGTTTCTGCAGGAGAGAGCACTTTGTGACTTCTGACTCCACGGTGCCGGGGAAAGCTGTACTTACAGAAACGACAGCAGAAATCACTGTGTAGAGTGAAGCAGGCCGTCGGCCCCTTAGGAGGCCGGCGGAAGCTGTCTGAAGACGCTCGGGTTCTGGGGAGTGGGGGGTGTCACCCCGGCCGGGGACGCTGGTCAGGTGTCCCCGCACAGATACACATTCTTTCGGGTTTCAGGGTTTTGCCAATTTTAAAGGGCTTCTCTAGCATGATGTCTGCTTGCTTTGTTTCTTTTCGTCTGTAACTTCCTTTGAAAGAACAGCCCATTTCCTACCAAGGCTCTTTCAAGCCCGACTTAAATTTTGCCTGATTTTAATTACTGGACACATGATTTTATGAGCCTTTTCTCTAGACTCGAAGACACAAAGTTTGACTTTGATTCCTGTTGACTTGTCTTGACCCCTTTAAATCTGTTTTACATCCATACAGTATTCGACTCATTTTGCAAATGATAAATTAACTTCAGAAATCTCAGTTGCAGCCCTGGCTGTGTGGCGCAGTGGATTGAGCGCTGGCCTCTGAGTGCCGGGTGCGGCTCCCAGTCCAGGCATCGGCTTGGGTTGTGGGTCAGGTCCCCAGCGCGGGGCGTGTGAGAGGCAGCCGATGGTTGGATCTCGCGTGCATTGGTGTTTCTCTCCCTCATTCCCCCTTCCCCCCCTAAAACTCAGTAGAATCTCAGTGATGGGGTTACTCCTCCCCACGTTTACCACCGTGCGGCTCCCTTGCAGAATCTGCGAGATCCAGGCGGTGGACTGCACCACCATCTCCGCGTTCACCGTGCGGGAGTGTGAGGGCTCCAGCAGGATGGGCTCGCGGCCCCGGCGCTACCTGTTCACGGGCCACACGAACGGCAGCATCCAGATGTGGGACCTGACCACGGCCATGGACATGGTCAACAAGACAGAAGACCGGGGTAGGCGTCGGGGGGAGGCGCCCCGCGGGGTGGGCGCGGGGCGCATGCGCAGCGCCCGGGGTCACGGCGCGGATGTTTCCCCAGACGCAGGGGGCCCGACGGAGGAGGAGCTGCTGAAGCTGCTGGACCAGTGCGACCTGAGCGCGTCGCGCTGCGCCACCCCCAGCATCAGCCCCGCCACCTCGGTGGTGCAGCCCAGCCGCCTGCGGGAGTCCAGCTCCAGGTAGGCCGGGCTCGCGGCGCGGGGGTCCTCGGAGGCCGGGTTCTCCTGACGGCGTTTCGGTTCAGACTTTCTGTTGCCGCTCAGTCAGGAAGAAAAGTTACTGAATTTCCCCACTACATGCTTCTGGTTCTTCTCATAGAAACACTTTCTTACCCTTTACCGTATTTGGTGGATTTCTGCTACTTGGGGTCCCTGCTCTGTGATTGAGAATTCATTCAAAGGAAACCAGAAACATGGTGTCCCCCTGGACAGTCTGTGGCGCCCTTTGTGCCTCTGGCCCCGGGGACGTGCTGATAAGTGAGCGCACTGTCCTGTCTAACCTTCGCGCAGCATACGGCTTGCCGTTTGGTCTGCTGAGGTGTCGCTGACGTCCACGCAGCACCCGACGTGATGATTCGGTTTCTGTGTGCGTTACGCACTTCTAAAGCAATGACATAGTATAAGTGTTTAGTTAACGTTAACAATATCCACAGTCTGAACTTAGGGCCACGTTCTGAATTATAGTGGTTCTATATCGGTTTTAGTCCTTTTCCCTCTATTCAGGGATTTAGCTTGTTATAAAAAAACAGTCACGGGGATATAAAGTACAGCATAGGGAATATGACCAGTGACGCTGCAGTGACCTCACAGTAGCAGATGGTCATTGGACTTAGCGGGAATCACGTCGTAAGTTACATACATCTCTGAGTGCTCTGTGGTCCACCTGAAACTAAGACGACAGACTCTGTGTGCCCACTGCAGCGGGAGAAAACCCTGCCTGACCGAGGGCCTGTGTCTGCGGTGACAGTTTCACGCACACGAGTGTGTGACACAGAAAGTACTGACGTGTGTCGTGTGCTCATACAGGTGGTTAGTTAGTGAGAGGTGCCCCTGGAAGTTTCCAGACCGATCTGAACTGCCACCTGTGAAACCCTTGCAGCCTGCAGCTCCAGCACCCGGAGCCCGTCCGCGACGCCGCCACGTACGGCTCCCTGCGGCCCTACCGCGAGAGCCCGCTGCTGGCCAGGGCCCGGAGGACCGAGAGCTTCCACAGCTACCGGGACTTTCAGGCGCTCCACCTGAACCGAGACGGGGAGCCGGCCGTCCCCGAGAACGCCACCTCGGGCCCCGGCCACGCCGAGGTCAAGTGCGCGGCCGGGGAGTGCGCCGTGCCCGAGAGGAAGTCTCCGGGGGCGGAAACGAAAGGCGGGAGAGAGTCCGAGAGCGGGTTGGAGGCGCACAAAGTAGCGGAAGCCTTCGTAGAACCTAAGAAAAGGCCGTCGGAAGAGGAGAACGACAGCAAAGCGGAGTTGCGGAGGAAGGGGGGGTTTGAGGGTGGGGGCTTCCTGGGGAGGAAGAAAGTGCCCCACCTGGCTTCGTCCCCCAGCACTTCCGACGGGGGCACCGACTCCCCGGGCACCGCGTCGCCCTCGCCCACCAAGACCACGCCGTCCCCGCGCCATAAGAAGAGCGACTCCTCGGGCCAGGAGTACAGCTTGTGAATGCTCACCGAAATAAGTAGTCTTTCTTTTCTTTCTTTCTCTTAAATATGTATATTGATTTACAGGGGGACGAGGGAGAGAAACAGGCATCGGCTGCCTCCCACACATGCCGCCCCGGCTGGGGCTCGAACCCCCAACCTTTCGGTGTATGGGACGATGCCCCAACCCACTGACCATCCAGCCAGGGCTTGCTTTTTTTTTTATACGTGCTTTTTCATTAGTATAGGTATTAAGTATGTGAGACAACACTGTCATGTTCTAGAGAGGTCCCACGTTGTCCACCCGCAGTGCGGACTTCCGGCAGAGGCAGAGCTGGGCGCCAGGGTGCGCGGACGGAGAGGACCTGCTCCGTGGGGGCGACACACGCTCCCTGAGGAGGCGCCGCGTGTCAGCGCTCTTCCGTTTTACCCCAAAACTCTACAGATTAAAGTTGGACTTCGTCTGTTATCTTTTTTTACAGAATTATCTGGAGTAGGGAGATCGGAGACTCTTTTGACCTTTTTGAAGTTGTTTTTGTTTTGTTTTGTTTTTGAGGTTTACAAGTACGTTTAACTGGTGATTGGTAGAGCAAGGGTCCACTTCCAAGGGTCCATTTTCAGGCGCACTTTCTCCGGGGAGCTGGGAGAGAGGTGTCCTGAGCACCCAGCCTATCGGGGCGGTGCCTGCTTGGAGCGCGGGAACCCCCGGAGGGCATTACTCCCCGAGAATCACATAATTCTCTTTGGAGCCTAGTCTCTCGACCCTTATTGTGATTGCAAAGTGTTTACCTGAGGTCTGACGAGGTGCTATGTGTGTGACGAACTACCACGTAATCCAGAAACACTATTGATGTCGCGTAGCAGAGCGGACTGGTAGCGCAGGTCCCTTGCAGGTCATCATCGTCCGAATCTCGTTAAGGGAAGTCTTACGTCTTGTCAGGCTTCACAGGTGTCACATGCCCAGCATCATCCATTTACACTGCCTTTACAGTTGTGTGTGTGCGAGCAGATAAAATAAACATGATCCCCAGGGCCAAAGCCGCGAGTGCCCGGAAGGGAACACTGGGGCAGCTGCTGGCCCCCCTCGTGCTGGGGGCCACGGCCCGAGTTCTTCGTCGGTACCGAGGTTGGAATGTGGCCCCTTTGTTCAGCTCCTGAGACGACAGTTCTGAATTTTGGGTTAAAGGTTTTGGCTGCTGTAAAAATATTATTTTGAATATATTTTGAATTGTAAGAATAAAATAATTTTTTTGTTTTTTCCCCATTTAATTGAAATGATTTTCAAGATACAGAGAGATTTTCAAGTTTCTGCAAATAGGATGATTGTACATTTCAAGCATTAAACATTTATTGGTGAAAAATGTATATATTCCCATTTCAAGAAATACAGTGAGTGAAGTTGGAATAAATGCATTAGAGTTTACCATTTTACCGGTGGTTTCACAACCATTCTCTTGTATTTATATATTGATCAAGTCAAATAAAAGTGATTAAGACTATGTGTTTTCAGTTATTTTAGGAACACTTAGTATCTGTTTAAAGCACGCCCACCCGAGTTCGTTCACCTCCTTGTCCCACAGTGAAAGCGGGGTGGGGGGGGAATTCACGTGTGTGCAAACGCACTCACCTTGTCTGTGGGGTGTCAGAGAACAGCAGGCGAAGTACACATTCAGTGTTACCAAGAGTTGTAATTATCTGTTCTGTCTGTCTTTACGTAAAAGTGGGGTGGGCAAGTAAGAAAACTAAAGCACAACATGGAGTACTTACCCAGCCTCTTCCCAGAGTCCTCAGCGTTAGGAGGAGGCGTTTATTCGTACCTGTATGTGATGCGCTAACAAGAAGTGCGGCGAGCAGCTGGAAACGCTGTAACTAAATGAACCCCTCCGCCCAGGGTGCAGCCGCACTGCAGGGTTACTCCTCTCTCCCTGACTCGGCTTGGCCTGCAGCCAGGGGTGCTCCTCACAGGGCCCTGCTGACCTCACGGACAAAGGAGGTGGATGGAAGTGTCAGTGACGAGCTCTGAACCAGTGCGACTCGAAGCTGCTCCCTTCCACCAGCTCAGCCTGCTGGAGAGGGCCCATTATTTTGTGTAACCGATGGCCTGGCTGCCAGCCAGAGCCGCTGAAAAGTGCCTGTGGTTTTAGCTTCCCGAAAAGAAGTATTTTCATAGGGATGGGACCCCTCGTTCCAGACAACCAGAAAAATAACATTTCTTAGACCTCTACTGGGGAGGAACAAGGTCGAACACAATTCTCATTTCCTTAAGGGGTCCACAGAATAACAAGCGACGGCTCTTAGCATTCACACTTGTGTCAGGTCAGCCCGCCTCCCGGTCTCTCACTCACGTTTCGCAGGCCTCCGTGCGCTACAGGTGGGTGTCCGTGAACGTGGTGTGCTCCTTCGTCACCGAGCTGAAGCCCTTGATGGCGTTCATCAGGTCCTCTTCGTCCACGTACTGAAACAGCCGGGCGGCCGGGTCAGGACGGCGCTGGTTTCTCCACGGCCCCGCCCCAGCTCAGCACTGCCCGGGGTGGTGGGAGGCCCCCCCGCCTGAAACTCCCCGCGGTGAAAGGACCCCTTCACACGCGCACCTGAACTCCATACGCGTCCCAAACGCACGCCATCCGAGGTCTGCAACCTGCCATACCTGCATCCCTCTAAGCCTCGGCCTTCTGGTTTGCAAAAAGTAGACTGTGTACATATATATTTAAGGTTGAGTTCAAAAGGCAAGTGGAAGAACCAGAATGGGAGCTCTTTGCCCCATGGCTTCCTCCTCCGACTGCATTTGCATTCATTAACGAGGTTTGCTAATGCTCACTATTAGGCACAATTTACCGAGTGTTGGCAGTTCGGAAGCGGACCTGCGTGGCTCTGCCGCTGCCTCTCACTAGTACCATCGAAAGCAGGTGTGCACGGCGTCCGGTGTCACAGTGGAAACCGGACGTTTCTAAGGTCCCAGCTCCACAAAACAGTGACCGGCTCGTGTCTTTGGGTGAGGACACACACGTAAGCCCTCCGTGGGAAACTGCCACTTGGCTCTGCACCCAGCGTGATCAGCTGACAACTCCATGTGTCCGCCGGCTAATGACTCTTGCCGTTCAGAAACTTCGGCTCTGGGTTGGGATCTCGGGATTCGGTGGTCACATTCACACCGAGGGCGGCCTGTGATTTAAAACTGCGCCACATGTCCCTCTGAACAAGGAGGGTGGACCGTGTATTTTATTTTTTCACTGTGATTGGAGCTGGAAACTGTACGGCTTCACCTGAGTTAAGAAGGGCTTTGTGGAAGTCAGCAACTTCTTGGCGCAGGAAAAGTTAGGGCTTGCAGAGAGTGAGTCCGGAAGCCCGGGGTGGGAAGAAAGGGAGGTGAAGGGCGCTGCCTCTCAGAAGGAGAGGAGCCGCGTCCTCGGTGGGCTCTCGGTCTACTAACCGCCCCAGAGGGACGTCTCTCCCGCGGGAGCCCAGGTGGGCGGCCCAGTGGAGAAGTTTGCTGGGTGGTGAACCTGGGAACGTACTCCTTTCTGTCACCAGGAGCTCACAGCAAATAACAGACAACAACGAGGTTCGCTCCCAGAGCCAGTTATTCGTGCCCGCTGGACTGAACTTGAGAAAGATGGGGTCCATAAGCAGGGGCACCTGCGAGACTTCCCGAGCTACTAGGGCAGGAGCCACCGAGCCCCTTAGGAGGCCCCTGTTCTCCAACCGCGAGCCGGAAGGAAAGAGAGGGTGCTGCGCTGTGTCTTTCTCTGCAGTAAAACGTGTGCTTGTCCTCCGTGCCTGGTTTTAGGCCGATTGTACTTCCAGTTTTCTGCCCGAGGATGCCCCTTCACTTACTCATGAGCTTACTTTCTGAGCTCTACTGTGTGCTAGGAAAACAAGACAATGTCTCTGCCTTGCTTGTCAATCAATCACAGCGACCCCAGGGAAATGCTCGGGTTAATAATGGTCAGAGGGACGCACCTGGCCTGTGGGCAGCCTCCGTGGGGTCCAGGAGGCCCCACGCCCCCTCTTGCCTACTAGTCCACCCGGGTGTTTGGCAGAGGCTCTGGGGGAAGAAATCCCACTCACCAGTCCGCTGTCGTGGCCCATGATGGTTTCCCACAGCGAGTCGTCCACCAGGACCTTCTTGTCGTGAAGGTCCATGAGCTGGCTGACGCTGCGGTGCAGGGAGCTGTGGGAGTAGGCGCGGCGGAGCTGGCTCTGGCTCGGGATGCGGAGGACGGAGATGCTGCGGTTGCTCCTGAGGCTCACGCGCGCCCCGGCCCGCGGGATCTTGGTGTCGGCCACCCCCTGCAGGGAAAGTCGCTGCCGGTGATTAGTGGGTAAAGGACAGGGGGGTTGCAACACGACAGAAGCGTGTGTCACATCTCGTCACTGAAGGGAATGCCGTCTCCACTGCCTCCTGCGGCACTCAGCTGTGGCCCCGGGTTCCCGGTAGAGGAGAGATGATACACCAGCAGTCACGTTGGATGGCCTGCTGGTGCTCTGAGCACCCGGAGAGCATGGGTACCGACTATAGATGCCCCCTGTACTCGGGGGGCTGCGCCGCAGTGGTGGGCTGACGGAAGACCCCTTCCTCTCTCGAGAACACTGCTCGCCCAGGGTGGCCAGTTAGCCGTGTGCTCCCCAGCTTCCCACTGAGCATGCCTGACGCTTAAACATTCTCTCCCTTCTCTCTCATTCCACATCTGTCCCCTCGTTCCGGGACCCAGCCTCCAGAACAAGTCAGGTCTAACATCAGGAGCACAGGGGCACTCTGATTGGGACCTGGAGTCCGATTAGGACCTGGGATGAAAAGTCTAGCTGCTGGGAAACATCGGAGTAGGCTGCCCCCGCCGGCTAATCAGTGAGGTGTCCCTGCTTTACACCGTGCAACCGACACGCCATGCAGAAGGCCATGCATTCATGCAGCACGCAGAGCCACCTCGAAGTGCATGGTGTAGCTTTTCAGGGTGACATTGCTGGACACGTCGGACACGTCCGCCACAGAGTCAAACTGAGGACAAACGGGGAGACATCGGTCAGTGCGCGAACATTTTCAAGCTCGGTGTTTCCCCAACGACGGCGTCACGTACTCGTACTTCAGCACTGTCCTGAGATGCGCAGAAACGCACATGCTGCACCAACCACAGACCGCGGGGCCCAGAGCCACTGCTGCCTTCCCTGGCTGGCCCCACCCTGCCTGCGACCTGGGCGTGCCAGCTCCGTCCAGGGCTCACCCACTGCTCAGCGCTGTGTGGGGAACATGGGAGGGGCCGGGGGGCGGACCAGGCTGCCCTTCACCCATTTCCATTTTTTCGAGTGTTGGGACAAGCAGTTTGACCAGACATCTGTGTCTGGTTTTGCTGCTGCTGTGGTATTGTGACTTAAGAAATATATCTGGTCTTCGTCCCCATTTCTGGCACAGAGCTCCTAAAACCTGTGGAATTTCCAAAGTGCTGAGAGCTGCAAAGCTGTCTTTTGTTATGTTAACTTGGTGGCTTTTGGGCCACACCTAAGGAGGGGCAGGTTGCCGGGAGGACGGACCACAGGAGGAGAGAATTGGATTCTAGTCCCACCTCCTGACCCGGCTGTGGGCTGAGTCAGTCGCCAACAGCCAATGACTCCATTCACCGACTGATGAGCCTCCTTAAAAACCCGGGAGCACTGGTTTGGAGAGCTGGGTCGGTGAGCACCTGAAGGTCCAGGGGGAGTGGCACACCTGGGGAGGGCGTGGGAGCTCACACCCTTCCCCCAGGCCCCGCCCTGTGCATCTCTCCCAGCTGGCTGTTCGGACGGAGTTACATCCTTTTGTAATAAACCAGCGATTTGGTGTTTCCCTGAGATCTGTGAGCCGCTCCAGCAAATTCATCGCACCCAGGGAGGGAGGAGGTCATCGGAACCTCTGGTCTGTACCTGGTCAGAAGCTCAGGTGACACCCTGGACCTGTGACTGGCACCCGAAGTTGGGTGAGGGGGACAGTCTTGCAGGACTGAGCCCTTCGCCTGAGGGGTCTGACACTACCTCTAGGTAAACTGTCAGAATTAAGGCAAATTGTAGGACAGTCAGTGTCAGGGAATTGCATGCTGGGAAAAACTGCCCACACGTGGGGACTGGGGGTCAGAATTTTAGTCGCCAGGTGCCACGTGCTCACATACAACCTTGGTGCCACCTGGAGAACAAGTGGCCGTTGGGCAGTGCTGCCCTTTGGGCACATAGTTTGGGAAGCAATCTCGAGCTGGGGGAGGGCTAGAAATTACAAACTGTCTTCCGACAGTGGGGCGAACCTCACACCCGAATGCACCTTCAGAGTCAGTCACCTTTAACCTCTCTGTGCAACGATCCCCCCGCAGCACCATTTGCGAGACCCTCGCCCTCACACCTTGACCTGAACTCTTGTCTCGGGTGTGGGTGCCCAGGAGCTGTAACGAGCCATCCACCCCGGGGACCCGGGGCCAGGGGATGAACCAGGCACTGCTAGGAGGTCAGTCCCTCCCTGGCTCCCCCTGTCATTCCTAACCC